GTGTGTGTGTGTGTGTGTGTGTGTGTGTGTGTGTGTGTGTGTGTGTGCGTGCGTGCGTGCGTGCGTGCGTGCGTGCGAGGGAGAATCCAGTAATGCCGGGCAACCAGACCCGTCCCTGACCTCAAATGATTGCTCCTTAAAGCCTGTGCTGCAAGCCCTCAGCAGCCAACCAGTCTCCTTTCCCTCCTTTTACCTCCTCCTGTCCTCGTTTCTGTGATTCTGTATTTTTTTTTTCCCTTTCCCACACTTATCTCTCTGGCACTCTCAAAGTCCAGCAGCAGTTGTTTGGGAAAAGATCTCATTGGTGTTATCAATCCAACCATGTTTTGCAACCAGCAGTGCGTCCCCTCTCGTCCGTTTACATTTTTTTACGGCCTTCCAGCTGTTTCGTTTCCATTTCGATTCTTTTTCTCATTCGCAGCCAAGTCGACACATGGAGCGACTGAGAGATGTCCATCCCTGGCTTACCTGCGTCCCAGACCATGCTCGCACACCTTCAATGGAAAGCTACATGGGAGTGTTTACTCATCTGCGCTCTGACACAAAACCACTAAAAGACCACATACCCGGCTATAAACACACCGCAGTAAGCTTCAGCTTTGTGATCTCCTGTGTGTTTTCACTCACAGTTAGCTTTTGTTGTGTGCAATAAACATGACTCAGTTGTTAGGTCATGGGTAAACATTTGCGTTGAGATAATGCACTTTCCACAAGCCATTAAGAAGAGGGCTTATTACATATGCAAAAAAAACCCTCATGAATGGGGCTTTATATATTCTCTCAGGGAAATAAATGAATGTTCTGCATCTGTACAAAGTTGTCTAAGGACGCAAAGTAATTAGTTGCCGATAAAGCTTTGCTTCAAGAGGCAGTGTCCCTTGCATTCTTCTACACCATCATTATACAACCCGAGTATCCGTCTCCTATTTTTGTACGTCTACACATCTGTCCTTTGACCTCACAACACTGGTAAGTAAGGAATTCAAGCTTGTTCGACTGTCACACTCTTGACAACATGATATGCTAAATACCACGAATGTAAGAACAGCGTGTATGACCTGAACCCAAATTATTTCCTCATCCGTCCATATTTGCAGAACAGCCTGTGTTTGCAACACAACACGGGGCTTTTCCTCCGCTCGCGCCCACAATCCGTACGGATTTCTTTCCTTTTAAAGAAATGTGGAAAACTATAAAAAGAATGAGGTTGACTTGTTCTCTGCACAGATTTTCCTGTGCTGCCCTTGAAAACCTTGGTTCTGTGCCTTGATTACGGTGTGCGGTTTCTCCGAAGTCAAACAAAGCACACTAAATGCAGCACGGCCAATTGGTCCGATCCCGAATTAAGGCGGAGAGAAACCAATTAGGAGACGGAAGCCACTAATTAAAAGCTGCATGCTCTACAGATTGCATCAATTTTATTTTCTTCAGCAATGGCCAGGGCCGTAATTTCAGAGATCACTTGTACGCCAGTGCACATTCCAGGACCGCTTGTGCACAGAGGAAGCACTGTCAGTCTACCGCTCTCCCTCGTTGGTAGTTTGGTATATGATGAAAATGAAAAAGCACAAACTGGGGAAATTTGGAAAAGGTTGAGAGACTCCACATCATTCGGAATAGACGAGGAACCATTCATTAGACGTTTTCAACAAGAGCCTGTTTCGCAGAAATGTTTCCCCTTCCTGGATTAGGTTCCGTGGATTGCTGCCAATACATTTTGTGTGTTGTGAATCGGAGATTGCATTATGCTCGAGTGGTTTGGGTGGTTAACCAATGCGCTTGCTTTGGAAAGCTGCAGGGAAACGTTGAGCACGTTGACCTGAGGAACGCCACAGGTTTGCTCTGAACACATGGGCTCACAAATGGCCGGGGCCTGTATTAGCGAACAAACCGCTTCCAGAGTAATGGTGTTCATTTGGCAGAGTGACCCAGAGCACTTGTCTCTGTGCTCTCATTGTAAAATGAGGAAACACGAGGCATGTTCTGTTGTTTTTTTTTGTGGTCAAAGCAGACGGGCAGCACTCCCAGAAATAGGTAACAAAGTGAGCCAAAGAATCACAAAACTTTGTACATAGTTCCCTGACAATGTTGCTGTGTGATTAAAGAAACTCTGTGGACATTGTTCCACACATAAAGAACCCAAAAATAAAGTCAGTGTGACATAAAATCGTATTAGGAGTCTTTGAAAAAAGAAAAAGGACCCTTCTTGTTTTATATAAAGCTCAACTTCCTGATTCTATTTCTCCCTCATTGTTTGTTAGGCGATTACGTAACACCTCTTGGCAACTTTTCACCTTGAGCTGTTGTGTAACCAGTGAACATGAACCTTCATCATAGCAAACACACACACACTTTATATCCAATTTGTGAACAAATTGGATTTGTTGCGGATTTGTTCCAGTGTTTGAAATGGCATTTGTGTGATGCACTAGAAGTTAAAGCGAGGGAACAAACACAAACAACAGTCGGATGCACAACAGACTCTTTCTGCTTGACCATGTGACCCCGGGGCACCAGATGTGTGAGCAGTTGGCCCATTCTGTCCCAGTACACAAGTGTGTCCCGAGTCCTCTTGTCGTCGCTTCCTTCCCAGAAGTGACCGCTGCGATAAATCCCCCGCGGCCACCCCAACCCTTTTCTCCAATGATGGAGAGAAAAGGAAAAAAAGAGAGGAAGTAACTTAGACCTCTTCCCTTCCATTCCACCTAATGTTTTTTCCAGACCCTGAAGGCTGACCTTCCCTCTTGAACTGGATTTTTTTCCTGTACCCTACACCTTGGATTTCAGGAAATGTACAAAACAGGATAGCCTAGCACAACATATTTCTTCTGTCGGTTTTTCCTTTTTTTTGTTTGAGAGAATCCAGTGACATCAGCAGCCAAGGCTGCAGTGTTTTTCTGTTTTCCTCTGTACAGAAGTCGTGTCTGCAATGGCATTCAAATCTTAGCTCTTCATGATGTGATTGTTCAGCAATACCCAAACCTTATTCACTGACTGCCGAAGTTGTGACATTTTAGTTTGAAGCAAGTCCTAACTCCGTTAGAATATAGTCATTGAAAAGTTTAATGCAACCTAGACAACAAAAGCCTTTCAAACTAGTCTTTTAACCGGCAAATCACAAAATCACTTCTTACTTTCTAACTTACTTACTTTTTAGATTTTTTTACAAAAGCAAAGGTACAAACTGATCCAAAGCAAGCAAACAGGCCTTGCATTGCAGTCGTGTCCAAAGGAGCCAACTGTCCCCAAGTCAGATGTGATTTGAATGTTGAAACGCTCGGAGCCAACGGTCCCCGAGCCCCTCTGTAACTAGTGGGCAGAAGGCCTTATTTGCCTTTCAGGCCAGCATGGGCTTTGCCACATTGTTCAGGGAACAGGGAGCTGTTGAAAGCTACACACAGAGGTGACTGTGTCCTTTTCTGTTGGTCAAAGTCACAGTTGCCCGTTGACGGGTTGCCTGATGATTATCACACCTGCGTTTGCTGGCAGTATATTCTCTTAAGTCTTTGGAAGTGCATCTGTCCAATCGCACCATGTTCTTGAAGTATTGATTCCTAAATAAAAAGTGCAGTTTTATGATTTCTCTTGGTACGAATAGCCGCCCCTCCCCCTTGATTTTATTAGCCTGACTTTGTCTAACAGTACAAAGTGACTCCGTTGTATAATCTACTTTTAGCCTTCGGTTCCCGGGCATTACGCACTGTACGCCCTCAGCGATAAACACTTACAACTTAAAAAGCTGACACAAAGCTTTCCCATTGCTGTCCTCGGTGTATTTTTAGGATGAATGTGTTCATTGGCAACTGCTGGTCGCTGCACCTGTCACTGTTTTCGGCGACACCATAACTGTGTTGCGCCCGTACTCTGGACTCGCCCACTCTCCCCGTTCCCTACCATGTTTGCTTTACCCGATATTTTTCCCTCTCCACAATCAAGGGGGAATTATCTGTCTTCCGGACAGAAAAAGAGGCAGCCCACTAATTTTAGATTGACTTGATTGAGCCCGGAGGCCAACGGGATCAAACCCACATCCGTTGAGAACCAGGGATGCTAATTCTAACCATAACATAGCTAACATATGTTTTGCTCTCCCCAAGCGCTGATTTGAGACCTGCTAGAAGCGGAGCTCTGCACCCGCTGCAAAGGCCCATTCTTTCTTGTGGCATGTTTTGTGGGTATTGGCCCACCATGTGTATATTTATAGAGACCGGGTCATGACACATGCACACGAACTACTTGTTCTTCTTAAGGACGTAAAGCACTCGCTTTCCAACGCTCGCTGTTTTTGTAAGTGTGAGTGGAGACGATTTATCGTAGCATAATTAATTTTCAGGATGTTGACCCTTCATTTGTTTCAATTACATTCGTCAGGAAGCCTGTACAATAATCCTGCTTGTACAAGAGCAATCACATACCCAACTCTACACATTTAGCTACTAATGCTTGACATTTATTGCAAATGTATCATTATTTAGGCCATGGGTAACTGGAATACTGTATAGTTGCTTTTTAATTCAAGAACAGACTCAATGAAATACACTAAAATAAAGATATACACCCCATAACTTCACACTTCAGATGTTTTTTCAATTTTTGTGTTTCTCCGTAATCTTTCAGTGTTCCCTTTGGCCTGTTTATTTATGAAGTAAACTTGCTTTAGCCTTCCTGAGATGCAGTTTCACTTCTTCCATCGGTATTTACAGGTCTGAGAAATAATCAGTTTCTAGATTTTTGTTTTCATGGTCTTGTCGCTCTTTAGCTGCTGTTTTTATGGATTAATTTAATGGGATTTTCTGAATGCATGCTGATTAAACAATATATGTTATCTAATTACAGTTTTGGTACTTTAAACATAGGTGTGTTCTAAGTGGAATTAGATAATTGTGATCCAATCAGACCAAAACTGCTGCATGTCAAAGTCTGACACCCCCGGCATCCATCAAACACTCCAGAGTATTATTAGAGATTTGTCACCGGCAGCAATACTGGGCTTCTCCAGAAATGGCATAAAGAGCGTAACGAATGGTCCGACTCAATCAGGCGTCTTCAAAGGGAGCCTGGTAATGACAATGTTGCTAGCGGTTTAGCCCTCAGGGTCCTCTGTTGGGATGCTCAACTGTGGCTAACTACCAGACCAATTACTTACAAAGACAACCTTAGGAAGAGACACTCGATGCTGCTGCCACAGGAACAATCCCAGCCCCCCCCCCCCCCCCACGTCCACCCGCCCGTTTGTTCTAATAGCTCTAACCTAAAGCCTGATCCACTGTTGGCTGAAGCCCTCGGGCCATTCGCAGCTCCACATCTAGCTTTGTGTCACCACTTTTCCTGTCAAGACTTTGTTATTGCTTCCTTGGCTTGGGAAGGTGACATTTTACGTCTTTATTGGTGGGGGGGGGGTTAGACACAATTTTCAGGGACTTTTTCTGTTTCATGGGAAAGAAATGGGAGGAAATCATTGTATGTACCCTGTGAAGTTTGAACTCAAAAGCTCAAGGGAAGGCGGTAGTTCAGATGTGAAATGGTTCCGTTAATGATACTTAAACATCCTTGTGTTTTCCTAAACGATAGGGCTCTGAAACAAGGATGTTTACCACAAAAGTCATATTTCCAGTCAGTATGTCATGCACCACTCTGGGGTTTTAGCTTGTATATTTGAGGTCATGCAGACACTGGACTTTTTAGGCGCCTGTTGTTTGTTTGCAAGGCGCTATACAACAATGGCTGTTTGTGGATCGGCAGAGGCAGGAAGTGTACAGTATCCTTTCTGGAAAATACACATAGCCCTGTCACTTCATTAGTCTTCCCAAGCGCGGCGGTGTGGGAGGGATTTAAAACAATCATAGGCAAAAAGGGAAGTGAACTAGCTCACAGACTAGCATACTATCCATCATTCTCGAAAGCATGCTGCCAAGTCAACGGAGACTCCCATACAGTTGGTCGAGACGGCAGTCGTGTTTCATTCCTTGAGTCCTCTGCAATCCCCCCGGCTTAGTCCCCATCTGGCCAGCAGTTCCGTGCTAAAGCTGGGAGATGCGTAGGGCCTAATTCCTACACACTAAAGCATTACCGTCTGTCCAGGGCCCATGGAGACAAGATGGTCGCCAGGTGTCTTCCTGTCTTCAAAGTGTCGGCATCGTTAATCATGCCCCCAACCCTTCTGCGTCGCCTCACATGTGTTTTATTTTCCTCGGCTCTCACCCCCACATACACACACCCTTACTCCTTGCTTCTCTGCCTCCCTCTTTATTTTTGGACAGTCTGTCACCCAGCTGCATTTCCTGCGGGGTTTATGTACAGTTTTGGGCCCGATTGGAACCACATTGGCCAAACAGCGTGCCATCTTAATGAAGTCACTGTAATCCAAATGGGTGGGTGGGTGGTACGGAGGGGGATAATTGGAGAAGCTGTGCCTGCCTGTGAAGGGCCAGAGGATACTGCTAACCCTCCCAGCCTGCCCTTTAGCCCCCAGCAGACTGCTGCTTCTCTCTAATGTGGCCACTTTTATTCTTGAATCCCCTCCTCCCCGCTTCATCCAGTCCTTCAAAGGCAAATTTATCTTTCATCTATCTTTGCTAATGGTATTAACGCAGCTCATGCTTGTGAACACAGCCTCCACAGCTGCAAGGCCTTAAACAGCTTCAGAGAAGACGTGCTAGCAGAACCTTTTTTTTTTTTTTATTCATGTCTTTCAAACCCATGCCAAATATTTGCAGTTTACAAGCCCAGCGATATTGCAAGGTACAGGTTATCTTTTAACAAACAGGAAGGTTTGACCGCATGGTAAGATCGTAAAAGCCTATGCATCAGTGTATCTGTTTGTGCCCTGGAACACTTTGTGATGCAGATAAATGGGAATTATCAACTGCTTTGTGTTTTGGGAGTTCTGTTCTGTCCTGTCCTGTCATAAAAGACACGCACATCCTCTTTGTTTGCAGTCGTTTGTGGTTCATGTCTAGGTTGCATCTCTTTTCTTTTTTTTGGAAAGGCACATTGCATTTAATTTGGCACGTTGACTGCCAAGGCCCGGCTTCATTAACAGTGCGGAGGGTGCACTATCCACGCCCTCGCTGACGCAAAACCAAGCAAGTATGAAAAGAGCTCTTTCCTCTGGAAATGCACCAGGGGGACTATTTCTGTAGTTTTAAATTGTTAAAGAGGGGATTGGGCCAGAGAAAGGGAGGGGGGGGCTGATGTTCAGTTGTGAGCAGCAGACTGTTTCACATGCCAGATCTGTAATGCCTTCCTCCGGGCTGGGAGCTGGCTGAACTCTGGGCCGTGGCGCTCCGGGAGAGGAAGTCCCAAGCCTGGGGAGTTTCAGACATCCTGTTTTGGAGGGCCATTGGCCAGGACCAGGGCTGTTGCACGCCACCTGCAGACTCGCATCACATCTGCCATTAGACCGGGGACAGCAGCCCAACGTCACCCACCTCAAAATGGCTTCTCTTTGTCTCACTGTCTACCACCCACCTTCCAAACATCCAACCCCATTTTTTAAAATACAGTAAAACTGTTGGAGCTAACCAAAAAATGAATTCCATCACTTTCCTCGATATGCTCCCTATTTCTCCAGTCTTGGACTGGCTTTCCATTTCTCTTAAAAGAACATTATATCATTTTGAAGGAATGTGTCTTTGAAATCAGTCGAGGAATCGGTCCTTAAAAAGAGTGAACATGGAGGAGAAGAGTTGAAATATCTGCCCGTAACATGTGACGTCCTGGGAAATTTAGTGTGTGCGATTCCCTCTTGAGTTTGAGTGAGAACGTCATTGTTTCATCCCATGCAACACAAACGTTATAAACCATACATTCTTGTGCAGTATCTTGCCGGTAAATATGATTAGATTTTTCTGTCATGCATGCTCACATTTAGTTCACACATGGTTTGCAATCTTGCGTAACAAGGACAGACTATTCCAAGACTCGCACACCATTTGCTTGGATTCTACTTGGAATTTATATAGTATGGTATGCCCCAAAGAAAGTCCCAATTCATGTCTAATTTAACCAAAATACACCTCCTTCCATTCAGAATGTTGTCAGTGACATCCACTGCTGAGACACAGTGGTTGGTCTCTCCCTGTTCTCAGAATCCCCAGGAGCTGATGGGGCAGGAAGTTCAGTGGAGATAGCACTCCCTTGGTTGTTGCTATTTAGGACAACAGGAAAGGGTTTGTGTCTGTCTCGACCAGCCCCTCCTCCTCCTTCCTTGATTGGCCTGGTCTGTTTATTCAGAGTCATTCTCACCCGTCCTGCTGCGTTTTAGTCTTCCCTGTCCGAATGGCCACCATGTGACCTTTTTCCGGCCTATACGCGCTATCTGCAGGGCTTTTTCTCAACACTGGTCAGATTTTCGGAACGGTGGGATCACAGTCGTTCCCAGCAAGCAATGCATAGTGACTCATTTTTGATGTGAATGATACCAGTAGTATTTTATTGTATGTAGGCGGGATCTATCAGGATTCTAAAGCCTTGGTTGTACTCTCCGCAAGGACGGTTGCACGGACATGAGCTAGGTTGGAACCGTGTGGAGGAAATGTTTGGATATTTTGTACTCCCGTGCTGGTTTCTCCTCGGCAAAACCGACATTTTCAAAGCATCCCACACCCCCCATCCGTGTCCGCATAGTGAGTAAATGTTGGATGTGCTGAAACAGCCAAAAAGCTGCCGCTGATGGTGTGACGTCACTTTGGCCGTGTGGACACTCGCGACCCAAATCACGCTTAACTCGGATTATACTTGAATTAATGTAAAGTGATGCATTAATTAAGTCTATAATGGAGCTTTTTTTTTTTCTAAAT